TGTGCGGGGAGGACTCGCCACAGGAGCCATGGCCTCCGCCAGCCCTTCTGCCCTGGAGGAAGCCGCCCTCCGCCTCTCGCCCGGATCTCAGGCAGGTTAGTTCCTCCCCGAGTGTCCCGGGTCCTTTCAGGCTGCTCCTGGTGCTGGGCTCAGAGGGAGCGTCCGAGTGAGTCCGCGCCGGGCCCTTTAGAGGAGCTGCTGGGGCTCCCGCAGGCTCCGCCACCCTCAGCCACAGTCCCCGCTGGTTTCACAGCCCCAAGGTGTGGGGTCATCTCTTCCCGGCCCTGGAGCCCTGGGCAGGGGGCCTGCTGTGGGGCTGGGACCCCTCCCTCCTCCGGGAAACCTCCCCCACCGAGATTCCCTCCCGGGTTTACCCCGGGGCACCAGGTGTGGGCCCCCGGCCACCCCTCTGCCACTGTTCCCGGTCTCTGTTCTTCAGTTCCCTGGCTGTAGGGCTTCTGTGCAGCCAGGTCTCAGGAGGCCCTGAGTGATGGAGGTTCTGTGTTTAGTTGTAATTTTGACGCGGTTGGGGTTGGCGGTGGTGGGTGCAGCTGTTCCCTGCGCCGCCATCTTGTTTCTCTCTCTGAAATTACTATTTTAAAAATTAATACTTACAAACCGAGAGATCGATGAGGAAAACTTAAATGATCAGTGTCGGTTGTGGTTTCAGTATGAAGCGGTCCGATGGGCTGTCCCCCCGCTGAGTTCACCCCTGGAGCCATCAGTGCTCACTGCACATGCATCCGATAGTCTCCCATCGGACGCCCTGGCCCTGCGTCATCTCTCCTCCTGCTCCCGCTTGTGACCGGCCGCGGCGACCCGCTGACAGTGGTTCTCAGTGAGGCTCACTTCGTGCCCTTTGCTCGTGACCATGCGGCAGAGTTTGGGCCTGAGGCCGAGAACAGGCGGGCGGACGGCCTGCGCTCAAACCCGGCCTTGCCTGTGGCTTGGTCCCTGTTGCGGTCGGCTCTGTCTGTCTCCTTTCCTTCCCTTTGCCCAGCGAGACGAGGGCCCCGTGAGCCAGCGGAGCTGGGGTGGCCCTGGGACCCTGGGTACTGACAACTGGGAAGATGGG